ATCCTCCAAAAAATCGAACTGTATGTGATAAATTTAATTACCTTAAGGTATTTATTACGCATTAGATCATACGTTTTTAATGACATTTTTTGTTATTATTTTTTAGCTGAGTTGTACAAATTGCTTATATATTCTCACGGAAAAAACGTTTTACTTATTAAGTACATGTTATAAAATATTATCTTCACTATTTCATTGAAAAATTCGCTGACTACTTTTTATCGCAGGTGAATTATTCACCTGTTTGTGAACAAAATTGTAGAACTTTCATAAGTAAATTGATTATTATTCAAATTATATGTTTACTCCTAGTAAAACTAGTTTAAATAGTCAATTACATAAATGGTTGATATATGTCGTCAGCAAAACATAATATTTGTTATATATAAAACATTATTGAATAATAATATACCAATATTACTGCACCTTCTTTTCAATATTAAAATACTTTTAAAGCCTGTTTCAAATATCTGGTGGTCTGATAAGTAACCTGCTTCGCCGATTAGGGCGATGAGATAAAAAAAAACATTAGTTCTAGGAAATCTTACCTTTTTATATCCTCCTCCTCAGTCCTAATCCCTTTTGGGATGTGGTGACACCATCAGCCCTTCACGATTTTTTACGATTTCCCTCCATCCTTCTCTGTCCTCGGCTAGTTGTTCTGCTTCATGTAACCCTTGGTTAATCAATATTTTTGTTTGATCTACCCAACGGCTTGGAAATCTTCCCCTGGGTCTCTTTCCTTCAACTCTACCCTCGACTATCAGTTTTTCCGTCGTGCCTGTTCTTCTAGCAATGTGTCCAAAATACTACAAATATCTCTGTTGTATTTGTTTAAGCAATATATCCTTTACTTTAAGTTGTTCTAATATCGATACGTTAATGCGATGATCAATCCAGGATATTCTCAACATGCGGCGGTATTCATTCTTTAAGGTCCACGTTTCGGCTGCATATATGGCTATGGGAAAAATGAGCACCCTTACCAGCCTTAGTTTTGAGTGTATTGTTATGCTAGAATTTTTCCAAATTGCTATCAGTTTCCTCATGGCTGTTCTAGCAATAGTCAACTTCTACGTATTTCTCTGTCACACCCTCCGTCATTTGTTATTAAGGCCAGGTATAAGTATTTACTACTTCAAAGTTCCCAATTTCTTTAATGTGTTGAAGATTATCTTTGTCTTACTCCTATTTAGCTTTAGTCCATATGTTTTGCTTTTTTCCTCCAAACATCTCATTATATCTTCCATTTCTTCCTGATTTGCCGCGATTATTAAAGTGTCATCAGCATAGGTAAAGAAATAATAAATCAGACTTACTCACAATCAATTTAATTTAACTATCCGACGACCGGTTTCGCTTTCTACAATATGCAAAGCATCTTCAGGTCTCGGTACAAAATTAAACAAATGATGCCGGTACTCTATTAATAGATGGATGGTAGAACATGTTTGAAACTACTGTATATTGTTGAATGGAGAACTCAATACTATTATTGCAGTTGTTTGACAGTAAACGGGAAGTTCTTGAGGAGGTAGATTTGATCCAATGAATTTGAGATGTGTGTGAGATTGTTTGTTAAATGTAAGTGGTGTAATATATTATTGTGTTATTGAAAGTTATTTATACTTATTCCAGAGATATATTTTTGAAATGTGTGTTATTTATTGAGTAATTGTTTTATGAAGGTGACATTTATGACAATGAATAAGTGTAGATGTAAAATTGTGTGGGTGTGCAATTATTTCCAAACTTGTAGTTATCAAATTACTTTGATAAAGTTCTGTTGGCAATGTGTTAATTATTGGAATGGTCAAGTGAATAAAATGAATAAAATGGTAAAATACAAACACAATGTGCCAAAGACTATGATGTAGTGATTTAAAGTCCTTCCCCTTTTAAATTCAATGTTTGTTTCGTCCCTTCTAAGTGTTTTCTGTTTTTAGTGTGTTTAAATTATCCTTAAGTGTTTGTATTTTACCATTTTATTCATTTTATTCACTTGACCATTCCAATAATTAACACATTGCCAACAGAACTTTATCAAAGTAATTTGATAACTACAAGTTTGGAAATAATTGCACACCCACACAATTTTACATCTACACTTATTCATTGTCATAAATGTCACCTTCATAAAACAATTACTCAATAAATAACACACATTTCAAAAATATATCTCTGGAATAAGTATAAATAACTTTCAATAACACAATAATATATTACACCACTTACATTTAACAAACAATCTCACACACATCTCAAATTCATTGGATCAAATCTACCTCCTCAAGAACTTCCCGTTTACTGTCAAACAACTGCAATAATAGTATTGAGTTCTCCATTCAACAATATACAGTAGTTTCAAACATGTTCTACCATCCATCTATTAATAGAGTACCGGCATCATTTGTTTAACTTTGTACCGAGACCTGAAGATGCTTTGCATATTGTAGAAAGCGAAACCGGTCGTCGGATAGTTAAATTAAATTGATTGTGAGTAAGTCTGATTTATTACTTCTTTACCTATTTGAAATGGACTCACACAAGCAACAAATTCATGATTTGTCATCAGCATATCTCAAGTTATTGATTTTTTGACCTCCTACTGATATTCCGCCCTTACATCCGTCTAGTTTCTTTCGCATAATGTGTTCGCTTCGCTGTAGATATTAAACAGAGTTGGCGAGATTATGCATCCCTGCCTGACACCTGCCTCTGTTCTGAAATGATCGGAATGGGTGTTGTTTATTTTTACTGTGCACGTATTATTTTCATATAGACTTCTAATTAGTTGAATTAAGTGGTGGGGTGTTCCCATTTCCGCTAGTATGGACCATAGCTGCTGTCATTTGACTTTATCGAAGGCCTTTGTGTAATCCAAAAAGCACATAAGTATAAGAGTATTGAATTCACGAGTTTTTTCGATTAGCTGTCTGACATTAAGGATGTGCCTTTTCCTGGGACAAATCCCGCTTCTTCTTCTGATATCTGAGGCAATAGAAAAGCTTTTAATCTTTCATGTATTACATGAAGTAGAACCTTGCTTGCATGGGATAGTAGGGTTACCGTTCTGAAGTTGCTGCAATCTAGCGGAGTTCCTTTTTTGAATATAGGGATGAAAGTAGATGTTGTCCAGTCGTTGGGCCACTCTCCGGTTTCCCAAATCTTTTTGCAGATCATTTACTCCAACATTTCCAGTCTCTTTTAGAACTTCTAACCGTTTTACATACTTGTCAAATAATTCGCATTTTCAAATTACTATAGGTGGCAGCACTTGTTTTGGAAGATGGCGGACGAAATAGGGGTACCTATCTTTTGTTGACATTGTAAATTTGACAGGGAACTTTAAAATACCCCCTAGTTGAATGGCAAGCAAGCTCACTATTTTTAAAACTTGATGAAATTTATACCAGTTTTAAACTCTAATTTATTCTAATTTTTGACATTTATCCTTGTTTCATTAGATATCTATTTTGACAGACATAGTTATCTTCTCTTCTCTGACTAATGGATTTATTAAGAAGCATTTGTCTAGCTAGGTTAGATTGTTCCATCCTCATTATACATACCTCAGACATTCTACGATACCTGGTTCCTGGTATATTCTATTAAGTTGAAAGTTGTATCTTCTACACATTCTATTGTCAATCACAGCTCCATAGATTCGACTTAGTAGTTTTTTTTTTCGAAACATGTTTTCATAACTTTTTGTTCAGGTCCAGGTCTCTGAACCATGTGTCAGGACTGAGCGTATTATTGTTTTGTAGACTTTTACTTTTGTATTTCTCGATATATTTGAGAATTTAAGAGAAACTTTGGTGTTTTTTGCGTTTATTAATTTTTTTTATTCCATAATATAACTCTTCGAAAGTATCCAGTTAAAATTTCAGAGCGATCGAAGCAAAATTGATGGAGTTATAGGCATTTAGAAGTGAGTGAGTAAGTGAGGTTAATGAGTTAGTCGAGTAAGTGAGGGGAGTGAGTGAGGTGAGACCATCGAGCAAAAAGACAAAAGAGGGAATCTAATCCTTATGAAAAGTAGACCAAAAAAGTGGCCTCTGATGGCGGACATATCCGGAAATGCGAATGCGCCAAATTTAAATTTTTCGACACTTATTAACAGTAGCTACATAATATTTTTCAGAATGTGTCTTAGACGAGAAAGTTTTAATTAATTATTAACGGTAAGTAAGTGGAAGTAAGGCCATGGGAAATAATAGCACAGGATCGGAATCAATGGAAGGCAATAGTAAACGCGGCAAAAACTCACGAAGAGTTGTAAAAGCCAATGATGATGATGATTAACGGTAATAGTCTAAAATGCAACACAATTGTTAAAAAACTTCAATATAAATAAGATTTCATGTGACATTTGGGACAAACAATAACATAACTCAACTAAATTTGATGTCAAACAAGGAGAGAGACTCTCTTTCCTTGTTTAATGTGGCCTCTAAAGATCGCACTTCCTGTGTAACAATATTTGTGCCCCAACTACCTTTACATTCCCTCTTTTTGCTCGATGGGTGAGACATAAACAAATTTAATTATGTTTGTGACACTTTTCACAGCATTCGCTGAGTATATTATATTATGTGTCATTCGTTCTTGACTGTAATCGATTTTTCTTGGCGTATAAAATAAATTTGTCTTCTCTTCCTAACGACCCCTAACCTAGAGAGGAAGAATTTTTTGTCAGATAGTGATATTTCCGTAATCTAAAAGTTTTAATACGCTAGAAACTTTGGTTATGCCAACACTGTTGTTTACATACGTAGTAGATTTTGCACCGTATAAAAAATAGGATTTTCTGACACCTTTGTAGTAAACTGTGGAAAGATTTTATGCACCCACAGCATAGGCAACCATGTTTTTCTAATACTTTATAGAAACCATTTACCGACCTAATGTTCTTTCTATCCATAATTAAAAACAAAATCTAACATTTTAAATTATGTTTGGGTAATTAAAGAGTAATCGCAATTTTGTATTTTCAGTTATCTGACGAAGTTAATCGAAAAAAGACCGAATACCAGAAATATCTAGAGTTATACAAACAAATGAGGTGCAAGTTTGAAGAACACTATATTAAATGTAAGTATCGTGTGTTTATTATTTTATTCGATATTGATCATTTAATCCAATTCTGCGGACATATTTTCCCCCATCTCGCATTTCACAAACATCACTCTGGACAGTGGCGGATCTATACATCTACCTTGGGAGGAGAACACCAACCTAAAAAAGATAAACCCAAACTTCACAAAAGTCATAAATAATAGGTTTTCTTTAATTTTGGACCTTCTTCGGAGGAGGGGTATTTCCCTATTTCCCCCCGTGTATCCGTCCCTGACTTTGGATCAATTATTGCAATAACGGCTTCTCTATTTCTTCTTTCTTTACCAGTTTCAGTAGCTATTATAATACTTGCCTTCTACTTGCTACCTCTTCCAGGTGCCTTGTCTGATCTTCCGAACGTTTGGCAGAATGGTAACATTTTTATGTTTCCATTCTACCACTCTGATTTTATATAATCTTTAAAAAAGATATCTTTCTCCAGCAACCACGTCATCAGTTCTTCTGATTACCACAACAGTTTTCTCTGGTAGATTAGGAAGCGGTTTCTCCTTAAAACATTGTTTAAATATAGGATCATCCATCTCATCATGATAGTCCGCTGAGTTTTTTTAGCTAAAAACCAAAAAAGCAGCACATTCTACAAAGCCCAATTCACTACCCGCATGCATTATAACAAATCGGGGGCCTCCTATACGATTGGTAGTAGACTTATAGGTCTGTACTTTTTGTTATCCTCTTTGCTACCTTTCTTATAAATGATAATTATGTTTGTTGTATTCCAGTGGTCTGGTATGCAAGGCAGTTCGTAAATATACCTGCTAAGATTTTCCAGGTTTCATTGAAAGCGAATTTAAGCAGTATCACTGTTATACCATCTATTCCAGCTCCTTACCGCTTTTCATTTTTGCAATTGCCGATTCTATTTCTTCCGCAAGGACTGCTGGTACATCTTCTTGGTTAGTGATTACTTCTTCAAGTGTGTCAGGGGCTTTGTATAGTTCGCTGTAGAATTTATTTACGAGTTGTATTATTTTAATTCTGTCTGTAATTCTGGTGTTTTTGTTTGGTATAGCAACGATTTGCTTCTTCCCAATGATTAACTTTTCTTGTTTTCTTATAGTTTTTCCTGTTTTCGATTACATTTTCTACCAGTCTTTCATTGTATTTTCTTATGTCTTCCTCAATACTTTTCCTTATTATCTTACAAAGTTCTGTGTATTGTATTCTCTATTACTACTTACTTTCATTTCCCTTTTTTTTATTTACAAACATGGTCGCAAGAATATTAATGTCTTTAAGAAACTTCACAATATTTTCACTAGTACACTTACTAAAGATGTCCCTTATAACTGATGTAATTTTATTAGTTAGTCTTTCAGCACTCTATTTGCGACACTCCGTTAATACGTGTTTCACTGTTAACGGCACATCACAACTCGTACATTTTGGTTGAGGTTCCTTCTTAATGAGATATTCATGTGTGAGTTTGCTGTGTCCTAATCAGAGCCTGGTTAATACAACCTGAAGGAAACGGCTAGGGGCATTGTTAGTCCATCGTCCAAAATTTGGTTTAATTTCTTTTAACTTTGAGGATTTTTCTTCCCAACATTTAGTCCAATTACATATCAGCTTTTGTTTAAAGTACGGATTGAGATCTTCTGCTAATGGTTTTATTATCGGTCTGATATTTAGGGAATTTGCTATTTCTCGAGCATTTTTATCAGCTAGTTCGTTTCCTTTAATGCCTATATGTGATGGTACCCACACGAAGACTAATGTTTTATTTTCCAGCTGCTGCATCTTGTTTTTAATTAATTTAGCTAACGGGTTGCAAGTGTACATTTTTGACAGTATATGAAGGGAATTGATTGAGTCAGTAATAATAAGGAATTTATCTGATTTGACTGTTTGTATGTGAATTAGAGCTCGATATATTGCATACAATTTTCCAGTTATCACAGTGGATTCTGCTGGCAATTTGAAACTTTTTATTATGTCTCTTATAACAAATGATGATCCTACACCAGAAGTTGTTTTAGATGCATTTGTGTAAACTTGGGTATATTCAGGGGAAGAAGAAAGTATTCTATTATAATTGCTTATAAATATTTGTGGATTAGTTTCAGATTTATGATATGATGATAGTTCTAAATTTAAAGTAGGCAAAGGTATTAACCAGGGAGGTGGAGTGTTTACGTTTGCTGAATGTGTTGAGGGAAAGTTAAAAATTTCAATAGAGTTTAAAATGTTTTTGATCCTTAATTGAAATGGTAAATGTGTTCTTATATTGATATTTAATAACGATGACTGAGTAAGAAAATGGTTGTCAGGTTGTAGTGATGTTTGTTTTGAAGCGTAAGATAGACTAAGTAATTTCCTTCGTTCATGTAATGATGGCTCTCCTAGTTCCCACTCGAGACTTGCAACAGGAGTTGTTCTATAAGCTCCAGAGATTATGTGTAATGATTTGTTGTGTGTAACGTCTAAGATTTTTAAATTTGGCTTCGAAGCTGAAGAATATGCAATGCATCCGTTGTCCAATTTTGACCGGATTAGGCTTCTATACAACAGTAATAATGTATCTCCGTCAGCACCCCATTGTTTGTTGGCTAAACATTTAAGAAGATTTATACCATTTTGACATGATATCGTCAATTGTTTAATATGTGGTTTCCAACTTAAAGTTTCGTCCAATGTTATGCCTAAATATTTTATCTTTGTACTTCGTTGTAAAAACTTTGTGCCGAATTTTAAGGCAGGTATGTTGGTGTGAATAGGCTTTTTGGAAAAAATAATATATTGTGTCTTGTCAGCTGAAACATAGAATCCACTCCTATTAGACCAACTTTCGATTTTATTTAGTTCTTCTTGTAAAATTTAGACCATCGAGTTAATATTTTTGCCTTTGATAAACATTATCATATCATCAGCATATAATCTAGCCTGTGCAGGTCTCTTGAGATTTTTTATAACATCATTTATTACTACTAAAAATAGTGTAGGGCTAATTACTGATCCTTGTGGTGGTTTCCCTTCTTTGTTTTAGCATTATTTTAGTTTTATCAGACAGTTTACTATGTTGATTTTGTTGTTGCGGGCCTCAGATTTCTTTGGCACTATCAAACATGATTTCCATTAATTGAGAGCTGTCGATTTAGTCATGTAATTTTTCATCAATTGTTCTTGGGTAGTGATCTGAGTTTTCTTTCAGATTGTTAATATTTATACCGGTTACTCTTGGTTTCATAAGAAATACGTAGTCCTATCTACGCAACATTCCGTTTATAGAAATTTTTTAAAAAGTTCCCAGAGTAAAAAATTAAGTAATATAGGTGTCAGATATGTGGATTATAAGTTTTAAAATCTAGCTCCCATTATCAACGAATTCTTAATATAATCATTTAATTTAGATGTAATTTATAAAGTTTATAAGATAATTTAATTGTTAGTATGATTCACACATGATTTAAATGGTGCATTGTCTTTAGTTTTCGCAATGATATACACTAATTTCGTGGGACGATGGTAAGCATAAGCAGGTGTCATAATAGGCGTTAAAAATAAAAAATATCCGTCCTGTACGAGGGAAATATGATTAGTTCATTTACAAAAATGAAGTCTATCTCAAATTTTAAATTATTAAATATAATTAAATGTTAAAATAGGATAAAATAGATAATTATAGATGTAAACTATGTAAGTGGAATAGGGATAAAAACATATTGGAAGAAACCAATCCAGCAGCTTAAAAAAACTCACAATACAAACAAATCAAAAGGAAAGGTATCTGGAAATGGTAAGTGGTCAAATGTTCTCTGTCTTTTTCCATTCTGTCCAAAACCATTTCGTTCGTAATATGATCGATACATGATATCTTCAAAATTCTTCTAAAAATCCACATCTCAAAATCTTTCTCATTTTGTCAACATTAACAGTCCAAACTTCGGCACCATCAAGAAGAATAGAGTGGATATAATATTTTACCACACAATATCGGATTTGCAGATTAAGTCTTTGATGACTCAGAAATTTCCTCATCTTCAAAAAGGCTGCTCTTGATTGCTCTATTCTTAATTGAACTTCTGATTTCGGATTTAAATCTTCAGTAAGTATTAGTTAGTATCATTTTGTCCACTTGTTAAATTGTCCACTCTTGATTTATACAAGTTGAATACTCAGCAGGTGTTTCGTTTATTTTGAGCAACTGAGAATTCACCTTAGAACTTCTGCTCCAGGCTAAGTCGTAACGCTTATAATAAAATTTCTCAATCTTAGATTGGTTAGTAGTGTAGTTGGTTATTATAATGCAATTTTGTTTATTATCCTGTGGTGACCTCCAGGTATACAGTCTACGTGGTGGTAATCAAAACCATGTGTTTATAATCATATGTATGTCTTCTTGACAAAATTAAGCCAATATATCGCCTCTAGCATTTCTTGTTCCTAAACTATAATCACCTATTATATTGTCCACTCGGCCTTTTCATATCTTTGCATTTAAATCGCTCATTATTATAGTAATTTCTTCCTTCCTGGTGCATTGTAAAAGTTGTTTGAGTTGTTCATAAAAATGTTATATTTCAGCTTCCGAATTATCTGTAATTGGAGCATACACTTGCACAATATTAATGTTCACTGGCTTATCCTGTATTTGTAATAAAAGAATTCTATAGGAAAATTATAGAAAACAAAATTTACAACGGCTGTTGTCCTGGAGATAATAATAACTCCATATAAATGAGCCAGCGCATTTCGCTTATGCCTAATATTACTAGTTTCAGTCTACTCATTTCCTGAATCGTGTTGTGCGTATTTTCTTGTTCGAAAAAGTTCCTCACATTCCATGTCGTGAAATTTAAAAAAGAATTTATTCTCTATATAGTTATTTACCACATTGGCTGGCTCCTGAATTGACCGTATTATGCATGGTTTTTGTAGGTAAATGTGACAATCTTTAATGTAGTGGTTTCCCGTTGCCTTCGACATCCTTATGCTGTTGACCACATATAGCTTCATCCGCTTTTTGCGGAATTTTCTCAATCCCAGAACAAAAAAGTGCCCTACCACTTACACTAACTCATCCGCCCAAAGCCGTTAGTCAGTTAGTGGGGATTGCTTATATCGGTAATTACTCGTGGAATGAGTATGTAGTAGAAAGAAATATAGTGACCCGTCTGCCCAGGGAAATCTAATAGTCATTCGGGTTTGGAAGAAACGAGAGTTAGCCAACAGAGGCTGATAAGAAAGATTAAAGACATTTCATATGTCTTTAATCTGAGGCATAAGATATCTGAAGGACAATATCTATAAAAAACGAAGGAGAGCAATAAATTATATTTTATTTATGTTTTATAATAGAATTCTAGACAGGAACTTCTTCATCACTATTTAATTAATCCTTAAAGTTTAAAATTCAGTGATAAAGTCAAATTAACCGAAATAATGACAAGAGGATTTTCATAAAAAGCGATGCAGTTTCTACACTACTTCAAGAAATTAATGCACCATTTACAAAAACAAAAAAAAAAACGATTAATTGGTGTTTTAAATTTTGGTATGGAATATACCTACCATGTATTTGAAATGTTTTGTTTTGTATTTGAAATAATAAATTATATTTTATTTATGTTTTATAATAGAATTCTAGACAGGAACTTCTTCATCACTATTTAATTAATCCTATATATATAACAAGCGAGTCTTCTACAGCTGGCGCCGCTTCTCGCATCCTAATTTCCAGCGTTTTCTGTCAAAGCAATCTTCAGTTGTTAGATCTCTGGCGGTCATTGCATCGTCGACATCGTCTCTCCAGGATCGTCTTGGTCTACCTCGTTTTCTTCTAGTTGGCGGAGTCCATTTTTCTATTTTTTTTGGCCATCTATTTTCCGGCATTCTCTGAAGGTGTCCATACCAGTTAAGTCTTTTGGCTTCGATTGTGTCTATTATGTCAAGATCGATTTCCATTTCTCTCCGAATATCTTCGTTTCTCACCCTATCTAGTCTAGTGAGCTGGCAACATCGTCTCCAGTAGTTCATTTCCATGGCCTTAATTTTTGATTTGTTTCTTTGGTTTATTTCCCAGAGTTCGGCGCCATACAGTCCAATACTTTCTATTATTGTTTTATAAATTCTTCTTTTATTTTCTTTTGTTATTTTTTTATTCCATAATAGTCCGTGTAGCTGTCTGGTGGCTGATCTTGCTTGGCCAATCCTGGAATGTATTTCTTCGCTACTTCCTGCTTTTGATGTTATTTGGACTCCCAAGTACTTAAAATTGTCTGTTGGTTTTATAGTTCCCATTTCTATTTGTAGGCTTTCTGGTTGTTCTCCTACAACTAAGTACTCAGTTTTTTGTATATTAATTGTGAGGCCCCATTTGGTGTACTCATCTTCCAGTTTTCTAAGCATGTAGCTTATATCACTCTCGTCTTCAGCTAGAATGGCTTGGTCATCAGCGAAATGTATCGTGTACAATCTATCATCTCCGATTGGGATGCCCATATTGCAGCACTTTCTTCTCCACAGTGAGAGTGCCTCAATTAATCCTTAAAGTTTAAAATTCAGTGATAAAGTCAAATTAACCGAAATAATGACAAGAGGATTTTCATAAAAAGCGATGCAGTTTCTACACTACTTCAAGAAATTAATGCACCATTTACAAAAACAAAAAAAAAACGATTAATTGGTGTTTTAAATTTTGGTATGGAATATACCTACCATGTATTTGAAATGTTTTTATCAGGTTACTTGTATTGTTTTTTTTTGTTTCAACCGGTTTCTAAGGAACACAAAACAAAGGTGCTGTAAATTTGTTAATGTGGATAAGAGGTTAGTGTCATTTTTCAGTCATTGAGTGAACTATTGCTAGTTTGGTGGACATTTTGCTATTGTTTTAATCAAAATTTAACGCGAATCGAGAAACTTGACTAATGAAGAGTGTGCTCAAATAGTGGTTTTGCACAAAGAAGGTTGGAGTTACAGACATTTAGGGCAACAGTTCGGCGTACACCATACATCGGTCTCACGAATGATGGAACGGTACAGAGAGACCGGTAGTCACTCTAGGCGTCCAGGACAAGGTCGACATCGTGTAACAACGTCCGGTCAAGACCGTTTTTACAAGATTTCGCACCCTAAGACAACGATTTGTAACTACCAGAATCATACAATCCCAACTTGAAGATGTTCATAATGTTAGACTCAGCTGTGAAACTGTTCGTCAACGTCTCAAAGAAGCTAATTTGGTAAATCGTATACCTGCCAGAGGGTCAGCCTTAAGGCTGTTTTAGCAGTCAAAACACACTGCGATTTGAAATGGGCGTATCACTTACTTTTATATACTGCTTTACCATTTTTACTCAGTGGCGCCGACTGACGGGTAGTTTAATGGCAACAAATGCATTATTTCCATCCAAATTAGTTTTAACACGAACTAACTGACCGTACGTTCATGAGATCTGACGTCACAAAGGCGATAACGACGAAACTCAGCGCCAATGATGAGTAACACGTTTCACTATTAGATTTTATTATTTCTAAGCAATTTTCTTCAAAGTTGGAACACGCTTTTCTCGATTATTACTGGACACAGAAAGGTGAAAAAAAATATCAACGATTACAGAAAAAAACTCTTTCAAGTGATGGGTGTAAAAAGTTTGGTTATAATAGAACGTTAAACAGTCTAATCCAATTTTTAACTGAAGTTTCAAAAAAATAAAAAAAAGTAAAACCATCATTTTAAAGGCAACATAATTTCAAATAACGTGTCCAAATTTCGAGACATTTTGTCGGTAAATAACAGATAAAACACTGTCCCTAGGCTTTGGTGCACCGATAAAACAGCCTTAACCGTAGCTCATCGCAGAGCGCGTTTAGAATTTGCACGAAATCATATCCATTGGTTGGAGGCTGATTGGAATAGAGTTCTGTTTACAGATGAGAGCAGATTCTGTCTTTACAATTGTGATAGGCGTATTCGCGTGTACGCACAGTGTAACATGCAAGGAACGACGTTATCGGGTGGAGGGTCGGTTATGGTCTGGGGTGGCGTTTCTTTAACGGGTCGTACAGACTTGGTGGTGTTGAATAATGGTAAACTCGGTTTCATCGTTCTTGGCGTGTGCATGAAATAAGCTACAACGGAATTTTTAATATTCGTCTCTCTCTGATACACAGATGCGTAATTCAATTGTGCGAGTCACGTTCGTCATGGTAAAGTGCGATGAGAAGGGAATAAAGAGACCACTCACGTCTCCCAGTATTGTAGCAATAACACCGATGCGTTTGGCCGATACGGTGTCGGTGATAAGTTGGGCCTCTTTACAAATACAGATAGCTGCCACAGGAGGAGGTAAACGAATCGAGCTTAGACAAGGAAAGACAGATGAAACAACTTATTGCAAGTGTTTTTACACGCACACGCCAAGAAAGATGAAAACGTCCATACCATCAACGCTCACCGATATATCGTTGACGTTCTTCAAGATCACGTTGTGCCATTTACTCCTTATATTGGCGAAAATTTTGTTCTAATGCACGATAATGCACGATCGAACGTTGCAAATATAGTGCAAAATTATCTTGAGGAAGTTTTGGACGTTATGGAATGGCCAGCGAATAGTGGCGATCTCAATCCTATAGAGAATTTTTGGGACTTGCTTGGTAGACGTCTATGGAATTTTCCTAATTAACCAAACACTCTGCAGGAACTGGAACAACGTATTGTCCAAATTTGGAATGAACTGGATCAGAATACTTTAAGACCGTTTATTTTAAGTATGCATCGTTTATTTTAAGACCGCTTATTAAGCAAAAAAATTAACCAATTTCTATTTTTAGAATTAGAGATATTGTTGTTAATTGTTTTAAGATTGTGTTAACTTTATGAATATTAAAGATAGTTAGCGACAACATCACTAAATATGTTTGTTTTACAAAGTAAAGTAATACGAAATAAAATGCTTTTTCAATATCTGATGTGTATAATTTTATTATTTTTACTTTAGTAACATGAAAAATATTTTAAACATAAAATATATTATAAAATCCAAAGGGAAATATTATCGCCTAAAAAATATAATTCATCTATAAATACTGTGTAGGATATGAATCGCATTTTTTAAATATCCCTCGTAACATTCACTACCTTTAAAATTAATTTCTATTTTTACAACTTTCGTAGCTGGTCGTGGAGGGAGAAAATTGGACGATGTCAGAGACAAATATCAAAAAGCTTGCAGAAAATTACATTTAACCCATAACGAATACGTTCTACTGCTTTGCGAAGCTGTCGAATTTGAAAAAGACTTTAGGACTGTGTTACTACCAGGACTCTTGGAATATCAGCAGTCCCTTCAAGAATCATATATTTCCACATGGTAAGTTTAAATAGAAAGTCCGCATTGTTATAGAGCTGTTTGCCTTTTAGCGTTTTAGATTGTTATTGATGTTATTTCTTATGGGAATAATGCTGTATAATTGGAGAAAAATTAAATCTTTGTGTTTTTTATATCAAAACAATGATATTACAAAGAAAAAATTAACCTGTTATAAAGGAGTTATTCCCAAATTTTACGCTTTATTTAAGATTCATAAACCACAGCTGTCAGTGCGTTCCATTTTTGCATGTATTGGTGCTCCTACTAATTTATTAGCATCCTTTCTGACTGAGATTTTGGTCAATACATATGTCTCTAATGAATACTACATTAAAAATTCATTCGATATTTTTAACAACTTCAATAACTATCAGTTACCTGAAGGCTATGTTATTGTCAGTCTAGATGTAGTCTCATTGTTCACTAATGTTCATCTAGATGCAGTTTTAATAGCTATTGAAAACAATTGGAATTTCATTAGTTCTTATTGCAATATCAGATTGGAATATTTCAATCTCATTTCTTCTCAACAACACATATTTCACTTTCAATAATATTGTGTTCAGACAAACACAAGGAACTCCTATGGGAAGTACTATCTCTCCCATTTTGGCCTGTTATATGATGGATCATTTACTGGATATGGTGATCCCAGAATTGTCCTTCTATATTCATTTTGTAAAAAAGTATGTGGATGACTTAATCCTTGCTATTCCTAGTCATGGTTCCACAGAAATTCTACAGGTATTTAACGGTTATAACCCTCTACTACAGTTCACAATCGAACATGAGGATAATCTATACTCGGTCCCCTTTCATGATACCCGGTTCATCAGAACCCATAACAACTCCCTTATAATCCACGGACATAGAAAACCTCATAGTTCTGGACGTTTTCTTAACTATTGGTCATATCATCGTCATTCAATAAAAATCAATTTGCTGAAGCAAATGAAAGCTAGAATTACATCTATCAGTGATCCTTCTTTCAATCAGAAGAACCTGAGAATCCTTTATAACCTCTTTATCTACAATTCGCACCCAAAACACCTAGTCACCAAGATATTATTCAGTTTGGCCCCTAAGATACTACGTCAAAATTATGAGTTGCAAATTACTGTTACAAGCAGAGAACCGATTGCCAATTGCTTATATACTTCTTTAAAATATGTTAAAGACATAACACCCAGACTGGCAAGATTGTTCAAAGATATCACCAACTTAAAAATAGCCTTTCAAACTTCATTAACTTCAAGATCTATAATTTATAAGGTTAAAGATAAGATTGTCACTAGGGATTGTTCTAACGTTGTCTACCAAATTCCATGTAACAACTGTAATTTGGTATATGTGGGACAAACCTCACGCAGTTTAAGTAGTCGTTTAAATAGACACCAGAGTGATAGCAAATTATATCCTGAAAGATCTGCTCTTGCGGAATATATTAACAAAGAACATCATAAAATGAATTGTGAATCGGTCAGAATTTTAGCTATAAAGTCTGACTATACTAAAAGACTGTTCTTAGAAATGGCATTCATTTCTCAGAATGCCAATGCAATGAACAAAAGGAGTGATATAAATCAATTAAGCACTATTTACTCCTACCTATTATATTTGGATAACCATTCTCTATTCCAATGATTTCTCAGCAACTGATTCATTCTAATGTTTCAACTTTCAATATATCTTAAAATTTTTTAGTATACAATTTTGGTTTTTTAACTTCAAACAACTTTTTGGTAAATTTTGATGTGTATTCTATTAGTAGTAATACTTCATAAGAAAAAGAAAAAATAATAAAAGAAGAAGTGGTGTCATTTGCAATGTCCAGAAATGACATTTACTCTTAATCACAATTAACACTTGGCCGTCACACTTGGCTTTTAAACTGTTTTTAATTGTCTTTTTCTTATGTGTCAGTGTATATAATAATTTGTCAATTTGATTTTTTACACCATATTATACCAACATTTTGCTTTTCTAAATTTTCGCAGCGGTCTTGTGGGTCTCCTCTTCTTATAGATACCCTTATTCGTATTCTTAATACTATCTTCGGTATTCTTTTTTTAAGTATGGAATTAAGTAAATATCTTTGAAACGAAAAAGACGATATTCATGAAATTTTAGATGCAAGTTCAAAGAAAAAACGTACTTTTTGTTACTACTTTACGTCCCCTTTCACGGGAAATACCAACTTATTTAATTTAAATGAGGAAGTGCTCATGAAGCACATACCCAGCGTCCAAAAAAGTTCAATTTTTAACTAATTTCTAACTCATATTCATTCTTAGCCAGGTACTTCAATTTTACTCATTTTGATGATCAAATTCACGACACAGTTTAGCCAGAGAACATACGAACACAGAGAAGCGACACGAGGCCCGGAATTCGTGTATCTTTTCTGTATACGCATGACCCAAATAAGGTGCTTTACTGTCAAAAACACATGCGTTTTCTTCAACTTTAAGTCGCTTACGATAGTCCGTAGGCATCTGTGGTAAACTCTCGACTATACAAGTGCATTTGACCATTTATCTAATTATTTAGTAGTTAAAAGTTTATAGTTATAGTTTATAGTTATAGTTAAAATATATAAGTTTATAGTTATAGTTTGTAGTTAAAAGTTTAATTTATAAGTACATATTTAAAATGTCTTCTGGTTATTGTGCGTTTCGCGGATGTTCATCTGTGATAGGAAAAGGAATAAGTTTATTTAGATTTCCTAAGAATACTAACAGGTAATTTGACTTTGAGTAAGCCGACACCGACGTGTCCGCCCGAGCTCTCGTTAAGTGAAGCAATAAAAAAATAAATTTTGGTTTGCCAAGGGATAGTTCAGAATAAAAATCAGAGAACTACGAACACACATTAAATTTATTGTCTCCGAAGGCTCAGGTCAAAAAATCAACACAGATGTTGGCCTACTGGTGTGAAAGCGCTCGCAGACAACAATACGAATATAGTATTTTTAGGAAATAAAAATATATAGAGGGTTTTATACACGAGAATATTTGATTTAAACGAAACAAAGAAATTCCTAAAATGCTCAAACTAAAAATTGTTGGAAACATAATTAACACGTTGAGAGCGTTAGCAAATTTAGCCCTTTTAATTTTTATGCATTACATGCACTGTGGTACTTGTATATAATCTACTTTTGTGTGCGATACAAGCACCCGAGACCATGTATGCATCAATAGCTGTATTGCCATCTAGGAGGAAGTGACGTAAATAATTGAGCACTCCGGTTGATTTTCTGTAATAAGAAGGTAGTAAAGTATACTAGACTCGATTTGTACATATATCTGAGTATATGTAACGCATATAAATACAGGTTTAGTTATCAATATAAACATAAGGATATACAATGTTCTAATAAAATTAGCGTTTATTTTCTGTACCAATACATAAAATAATATTAACATTAATATAAGTAAAATAATAATAATTAACAATGAAAATTATTAAAACACGGTAAGCAAAATCCTGGGGTATTTGGACAATCTTGGCAGAATGAGGTTACTCTGCGAACTTTTCGGTCGGCTTCTCTACTAGATAGGGTAATCCGAAGTGTTTTGTAGCAACTGGTGCACACTTTTTTCTTTTTTCTACCAGGCCCTTCAGGTTTTACAAAAGTATGGATTCTCTTTCTGGGGACTTGCTCGATTATTAGTTCATTACATGATGCTGCTGAAGCTGAAGGTGCTGCTGAGGTTAATTCTTCTGCCAATTGTCTAAAATCAGTAATACTTAATTTTGTAGTTGACAGATTATTAAATACAATCCAAGAGTTAACAACGGTGGTACCAAAAAGGAGTTCAAATGCAACTTTTCTGAAAAATAAAAAACAAATTGAACACACAACTAATAGTGATATAATGTGCATGTTTAACATTACCTGTACCATTTTAAGGTTCTTCGTAGTACAGAGTGGTAAGAACTCATTTGATCGCTGACATCCACCCCCTTCTTGGCTTTATTGTAGTCGAGGACACATGCTGACTTCATAACACTTTCATTTTTGCGATTTTTTTTTACCTAAAATAGATATAAATGAATATTTATTTACTGACAACAAATTGTAATTACAACTTACCAGTGTTTATCAGTGCAGCATCGTGTTCTGGAATGGTAGAAATCATTAAAACTGGTCTTTTATCCATCCATTTGATGATTTTGGCTTTGCCTTTCTGCTTTCCTTCAATTTCCCCCTTTTTCATGTTTTTTTTGAACATTTGTGGAACTCCTCTTCTATTGCTCCTTAGTGTACCAAAATACAGAAATTTCAATTCATACAAATTTTCAGCAACAGGAATACTGGAATAAAAGTTGTCAGCGAATAAGATTCTACCCTTGTGTTTCTCTAGAGGTTCTATCAATTTCATAATCACCGTTTCAGTGTGAGCAATATCAACCAATTTGTTCTCAGCCTTTCCTGTATAAATTGTTACATTATAAGTGTAACCACTTCCTGAGCACAATTTGTATAATTTGACTCCATACCTGTGCGTTTTATTTTTTATGTATTGTCGAAAATGTACCCTTCCTCGAAATGGTACCATGGTTTCATCTATTACAATGGTTCTTCCTGGAGTAAAAACTTGTTGAAAATTTCTTAGTAATATTTTCAATACTGGTTCAATTTTGTATAGCTTGTTGTTCACATCGGCAAGTTCATTCCTATTAAAATGAATGAATTTTAACAATAAAAGGAATCTGTCTCTTTTCATCTTCGTAACAATGAAACCGTTGCAATAAGCAGGATCTTTAGACCAGTATTGGTAAATACTAGGCACTGAATTTAATCCCATGATTAGAATGACGCCAAAAAAGTTTAACATCTCATAACTATTTGTCTCTGTCCACAATCTAATTCTAGATTTGCTTCTGAATCCCTTCTGAATATGATCATTTGCAAATGCATTGGTTTCATTAACAATTAGTTCCAAGAGATCGTCGGTAAGAAAATGTCTGAATATATCAACGGGTTTAATTGT